CTACAAACTCGCAAGGCTCTCATTTTTTTTTTTTTTTTTGAGGAATACACTCCATTTTCCTTTGGTTGATATACATATATATACAGAGATAGATCACAGTCAGCAGGACTCGATACTGCTATGGAGTGGACAAGATTCTCAGGCAGCACTCTTAACTAATCAGCCATCACAAATACCACATAAGCTGGGCAGTCTGGCTCACAAGCCATGTTTCTTTCCCAGCCTAGGCACGTCAGTGAGCCTCAAGCTATTTCAATCTCCTCCTGTATGTTCTGACCTCTCAAGCAATGTTTATATCAATGCACCATTCAGAAACAAGCGGGTACATACAGAAAAAGATCGCAGTCAGCAGGACTCGATACTGCTACTAGGGCAGACAAGATTCCGAGGGAGCGCTCTTAACCACTTGGTCATCTTGTCCACCCCAGTGGCAGCATCGAGTCCGGCCGACTGCAGTCTTTCTCTGTATATACCAGCTTGTTTCTGCATGGAGCATTAATATAAAAATCACTTGAGAGGTCAGAACATAAAGGAAGAAATTGAAATAGCTTGAATCCATGCTTGAGGCTCACTGACGTGACCGGGCTGGGAAAGAAACACGTCTTGTGAACCAGGCTGCCCGGTCTATGTGGCATTTGTGTGGACTAGAGCGCTGCCTGAGAATCTTCACCATTCTCAGTAGTAGTTTCGAATCCTGCTGACTGCGATCTTTCTTTGTACATACCCACTTGTTTCTGCGTGGTGCATTGATATACATAAATATATATAATTTTTTGTCGGCCATCTCCCACTGAGGCAGGGTGACCCAAAAAGAAAGAAAATCCCCAAACAGAAAATACTTTCATCATCATTCAACACTTTCACCTCACACATAATCACTGTTTTTGCAGAGGTGCTCAGAACACAACAGTTTAGAAGCATATACATATAAAGATACAAAACATATTCCTCCAAACTGCTAATATCCCAAAACCCCTCCTTTAGAGTGCAGGCATTGTACTTCCCATTTCCAGGACTCAAGTCCGGCTATATAAAAATAACCGGCTTCCCTGAATCCCTTCACTAAATATTACCCTGCTCACACTCCAACAGATCGTCAGGTCCCAAATACCATTCGTCTCCATTCACTCCTATCAAACACGCTCATGCACGCCTGCTTGAAGTCCAAGCCTCTCACCCACAAAACCTCCCTTGCCCCTTCCTTCCAACCTTTTCGAGGACGACCCCTACCCTGCCTTCCTTCCCCTACAGATTTAAATGCTCTCCATGCCATTCTACTTTGATCCATTCTCTCTAAATGACCAAACCACCTCAACCCCTCTTCAGCCCTTATGACTAATACTTTTATTAACTCCACACCTTCTCCTAATTTCCACCATCCGAATTTTCTGCATAACATTTACACCACACATTGCCCTTAGACAGGACATCTCCACTGCCTCCAACCGCCTCCTCGCTGTTGCGTTCACAACCCAAGCTTCACACCCATATAAGAGTGTTGGTACTACTATACTTTCATACATTACCTTCTCTGCCTCGATAGATAACGTTTTTTGTCTCCACATATACCTCAACGCACAACTCGCCTTTTTCCCTCGTCAATTCTATGATTAACCTCATCCTTCATAAATCCATCTGCCGACACGTCAACTCCCAAGTATCTGAAAACATTCACTGCTTCCATACTCCTCCTCCCCAATTTGATATCCAATTTTTCTTTATCTAAATCATTTGATACCCTCATCACCTTACTCTTTTCTATGTTCACTTTCAACTTTCTACCTTTACACACACTCCCAAACTCATCCACTAACCTTTGCAATTTTTCTTTAGAATCTCCCATAAGCACAGTATCATCAGCAAAAAGTAACTGTGTCAATTCCCATTTTGTATTTGGTTCCCCGTAATTTAATCCCACCCCTCTCCCAAACACCCTAGCATTTACTTCTTTTACAACCCCATCTATAAATATATTAAACAACCATGGTGACATTACATTACTTTTACCGGGAAGTAGTCTCCCTCTCTTCTACACACCCTAACCTGAGCCTCACTATCCTCATAAAAACTCTTTACAGCATTTAGTAACTTACCACCTTTTCCATATACTTGTAACATCTGCCACATTGCTCCCCTATCCACTCTATCGTATGCCTTTTCTAAATCCATAAATGCAATAAAAACTTCCCTACCTTTATCTAAATACTGTTCACATATATGCTTCAATGTAAACACTTGATCTACAAATCCCCTACCCACTCTGAAGCCTCCTTGCTCATCTGCAATCCTACATTCTGTCTTGCCTCTAATTCTTTCAATTATAACCCTACTGTACACTTTTCCTGGTATACTCAGTAAACTTATTTCTCTATAATTTTTACAATCTCTTTTGCCCCCCTTCCCTTTATATAAAGGGACTATACATGCTCTCGCCAATCCCTAGGTACCTTCCCCTCTTTCATACATTTATTAAACAAAAATACCAACCACTCCAACACTATCCCCCTGCTTACTTTGTTTTAACCTCAGTTTCACTGCTTTACCCTTTCATTCTACGTAATCCTCACGCCTCCACACTCCATCTGTCTTCTTACCCTAAAATTGATTACTCCTGGCCAGAGCATGAAATACCGCTCTCCCTTTCTCATCGACATTTAAGTTCCTCATAATATTTCGCATCTCCAAAACTCCATCCCAGTGATACCTCCCTGCTGTTTACTGAAATCCATTCGTCTAGGCTTTCTAATTTCTTATACATTCAAATTTCTTGACAGTGCCTCTCCCACTCTACATCTTCTCCTTTGCCATTCTCCCACACTTTACGTCTTAACTCTCCATAGTTGTTTTAATGACACATATCACATTAGTATCTTTACTTCGAACGTTTCGCCTACAAGTGTTTTCATCGACTGAAGAGCCTACTTGTAGGCGAAACGTTTCGAAGTAAGATTCCTAACTTTGCATATGTGTTTCCTAATCTTGCGTATTTTTACCCATTTTAATTTTTTTACTCTCCATATACTCTACTCTTCTTACAACACTTCTGCTTTGTAAAAACATCTCAATAAGCTAACTTTTTCTCTTTTATCACATCCTTTACTTCATCATTCCACCAATCACTCCTCTTTCCTCCTGCCCCACCCTCCTATAACCACAAACTTCTACCCCACATTCTAATACTGCATTTTTAAAACTATTCCAACCCTCTTCAACCCCCCCCACTACTCATACTTGCACCAGCCCAACTTTCTGCCAATAGTTGCTTATATCTCACCCGAACTTCCTCCTCCCTTAGTTTATACACTTTCACCTCTCTCTTGCTTGTTGTTGCCATTTTCATCTTTTCCCATCTACCTCTTACTTTAACTGTAGCTACAACTAAATAATGATCCGATATATCAGTTGCCCCTCTATAAACGTGTACATCCTGGAGCCTGCCCATCAGCCTTTTATCCACCAATACATAATCTAACAAACTACTTTCATTATGTGCTATATCATACCTTGTATATTTATTTATCCTCTTCTTCATAAAATATGTATTACTTATTACCAAACTTCTTTCTACACATAGCTTAATTAAAGGCTCCCCATTTTCATTTACCCCTGGCACCTCAAATTTACCTACTACTCCCTCCAAAACATTTTTCCCCACTTTAGCATTAAAATCCCCAACCACCATTACTCTCACACTTGGTTCAAAACTCCCCACGCATTCACTCAACATTTCCCAAAATCTTTCTCTCTCCTCTACACTTCTCTCTTCTCCAGGTGCATATATGCTTACTATAACCCACTTTTCGCATCCAGCCTTTATTTTACTCCACATAATCTTTGAATTAATACATTTATAGTCCCTCTTTTCCTACCATAACTTATCCTTCAACATTATTGCTACTCCTTCTTTAGCTCTATTTGAAACCCCTGACCTAATCCCATTTATTCCTCTCCACTGAAACTCCCACCCCCTTCAGCTTTGTTTCACTTAAAGCCAGGACATCCAGCTTCTCATTCATAGCATCCACAATCATCTCTTTCTTATCTGCACAACATCCACGCACATTCAGACTTCCCACTTTGACAATTTTCTTATTATTATTCTTTTTAGTAATTGTTACAGTAAAAGGGGTTACTAGCCCATTGTTCCCGGCATTTTAGTTGACTTTTACAACACGCATGGCTTACGGAGGAAAGATTCTTATTCCACTTCCCCATGGATATAAAAGAAAAAGTAATAAGACCAATAACTATTAAGATAAAATCAAAGAAAACTCAGATGAGTGTGTATAAATAAATATGTACATGTATGTGTAGTGTGACCTAAGTGTAAGTAGAAGTAGCAAGACGTACCTGTAATCTTGCATATTTATGAGACAGACAAAAGACACCAGCAATCCTACCATCATGTAAAACAATCACAGGCTTTAGTTTTACACTCACTTGGCAGGACGGTAGTACCTCCCTGGGTGGTTGCTGTCTACCAACCAACTACGAGTACTACCAGTATATATATATATATTATATATATATAATATATATATATATATATATATATATATATATATATATTATAATATATATATATATATATATATTAATATATTATATATATATATATATAATTATACAACACACACACACACAGAGACAGACAGAGAGAGTTCCTAAGGGTGATCCACTCCAAAAAAATCTCATGAAAAGCACTGTTTTGGACTAAGTGTTTTGTACTAGATACCCCTCAAGGAAGGTTCCTTGACGCTCGTGAGGGGCTCTTGATCTAGGGAATTGGATCTGTGCTCCAGTTCCCTGAATTAAGCCTGAATACCTCCCACATCTCCATAGGCGCTGTATAATCCTACGGATTTAGCGCTTCCCTCTTTATAATAAACAATTGTTATAGACCACAGAGGGTTAAAACAACTGTTGTACCTCAGCTCCAGCATCATTCTGGTGGTGAACCTCTGATTTATTTCGAGTGCTCGTCAGGTATAAGATCTTACCTCCTGAAGGGTGCCAGGCGGGAGGTGTGCACGAAGAGGGTCGGGGCTGGGGAGTCTGGTCGAGAGTCTGAACGGGCGAATCTGGCAAGGAACTCCTCAGGAATATTTACCTGGAAGAGGAAGTAGAGGAAAAGGTGAAGGGAGAAGACCATCATAGGTGAGTATGTTGTTGTGTAGTAGTTGTAATATCTATCACCAAGTTAGTCGTAGTAGATTTTGTGTTGGAAGTGGTAATACTACAAGCTAGAGCATTAGTAGTGGTGGTCGTTATGTGCGAGAATGCTTGTTGGGGGAAGTATGGAGTATATTTTCTGTATGAAACTATTATTTAGATTTCGTTATTTGTATTTACACACACACACACACACACACACACAAACGGAGTAAACAGTCTAGGGGGCCTTAGACTACAAATCTCACTCAAGGAAAAGGATCTTGGGGTGAGTATAACACCGTCACATCTCCTGAGGCTCACATCAACCGAATAACTGCTGCAGCATACCGGCGCCTGGCAAACATAAGAATGACATTCTGACCTCTTAATAAGGAATCGTTCAGGACTCTGTACACCGTGTACGTTAGGCCCATATTGGAGTATGCAGCACCAGTTTGGAACCCACACCTAGCCAAGCACGTAAAGAAACTAGAGAAAGTGCAAAGGTTTGCAAGGAGACTAGTCCCAAAGCTAAGGGGTATGTTCTATGGGGAGAGGTTAAGGGAAATCGACCTGACGACACTAGAGGACTGGAGAGATAGGGGGATAGGATAACTACATATAAAATACTGAGAGGAATCAACAAGGTGGACAGAGACAGGATGTTCCGAGATGGGACACAGCAACAAGGTGTCACAGTTGGATGTTGAAGACTCAGATGAATCACAGGGATGTTAGGAAGTATTTCTTCAGTCACAGAGTTGTCAGGAAGTGGAAAAGTCTGGGAAGTGATGTAGTGTAGGCAGGACCCATACATAGCTTTAAAAAGAGGTATGATACAGGTCATGGAGCAGGAAGAGTGACCTAGTAGCGGCCAGTAAAGAGGCGGGGCCAGGAGCTGTGACTCTACCCCTGCAACCACAAATAGGTGAGTGCACACACAAAATACTGACAGGAATTGACAAGGTGAACAGGGACAGGATATTTCAGAGATGGGACACAGCAACAAGGGGACACAACTGGAAGCTGAAAATTCACGATGCGTCACAGGGATGTTAAGAAGTATTTCTTCAGCCATAGAGTTGTCAGAAAGTGGAACAATTTGGAGAGTGATGTAGCGGAGGAAGGATCCTGTCTCTGTCCACCTTGTCGATTCCTCTCGGTATTTTATATGTCGTTATCATACCCCCCCCCCCCATCTCTACTTCTTTCAGTGTCATCAAGTCGATTTCCCTTAGCCTCTCCTCTAGGACATACCCCTTAGCTCCGGGACTAGTCTTAGTGCAAACCTTTGCACTTTCTCTAGTTTCCTCACAGCTTGGCTAGGTGAGGGTTCCAAACTGGCGCTGCATACTCCAATATGGGCCTATCGTACACAGTATACAGGGTCCTGAATGACTCCTTATTTAGATGTCGGAATGCTGTTTTTAGGTTTGCCAGGCGCCCGTATGTTGCAGCAGTTATTTGGTTGATGTGCGCCTCAGGAGATGTACCCGGTGTTATACTTACCCCAAGATCCTTTTCCTTGAGTGAGGTTTGTAGGTTCTGGCCCCCTAGATTGTACTCCGTCCGTGGTCTTTTTTGCCCTTCCCCAATCTTCTTGACTTTGCACTTGGTGGGGTTGAACTCCAGGAGCCATTTGCTGAACCAGATCTGCAGCCTGTGTAGATCCCTTTGCAGATCTGCCTGGTTCTCGTCCGATTGAATTCTTCTCATCAACTTCACATCATCCGCAAACAGGGGACACTTCAGAGTCTATTCCTTCTGTCATGTCGTTCACAAATACCAGAAACAGCACTGGTGTTAGGACTGATCCCTGTGGCACCCGGCTCATTACCGGCGCCTACTCTGACAACTCGCCACGTACCATGACTCGCTGTTGTCTTCCTGACAGGTATTCCCTGATCCATTGTAGTGCCTTCCCTGTTATCACTACCTGGTATTCCAGCTTTTGCACTGATCTCTTGTGTGGAACTGTGTCAGATGCCTTCTTACAGTCCAAGAAAATGCAGTCTACCCACCCCTCTCTCTCTCTTGTCTTACTGCCGTCACCCTGTCATAGAACTCCAGTAGGTTTGTTACGAAGGATTTCCCGTCCCTGAAACCGTACCGGCTGTCGTTAATAAGCTCATTCCTTTCTAGGTGCTCCACCACTCTTTTCCTGATAATTTTTTCCATGACCTTGCATACTATACCGTCAGTGACACTGGTCTGTAGTTTAATGCTTCATGTCTGTCTCCTTTTTTAAAAAAATTGGGACTACATTTGCTGTCCTCCATCCTTCTGGTAGTCGCCCTGTTTTGATAGATGTGTTGAAGATTGTTGTTAGTGGTACACAAAGTGCCTCTGCTCCCTCTCTCAGGACCCATGGAGAGATGTTATCCGGCCCCATCGCCTTTGAGGTATCTAGCTCGCTTAGCAGCCTCTTCACTTCTTCCTCAGTTGTATGTATTGTGTCCAACACTTGATGGTGTACCCCACCTCTCTGCCTTTCTGGAGGCCCTTCTGTCTCCTCTGTGAACACTTCTTTGAATCCCATGTTGAGCTCCTCATATTCTTCGCGGTCAGGCTGATTACCTGGTCCTTGACTGTTGTTTTCCTTCTGATGTGGCTTTACAACAGCTTTGGGTGAGATTTGGCTATCGCTGCTATGTCATTCTCGTACTGTCTTCGAGTCTCCCTTCTTACCTCTGCATATTCATTTCTGGCTCTACGACTGCTCTCCTTATTCTCCTGGCTCCTTTGCCTTCTATACTTCTTGCATTCCCTAGCACACTTGGTTGTGGCCTCCCTGCACCATTTGGGTGAACCACAGGCTCATCCTGACTTTTTCGTTATTCCTGTTACCCTTGGGCACATACCTCTCCACAGCTTCCTTACATATTGTTGTCACATATTCCATCTCGTTTACTGACTTCCCTGCCAGTTCTCTGTCCCCCTGAACCCTGTTCAGGAAGTTCTTCATGCCTATGTAGTCCCCTTTTTTGTAGTTTGGCTTCGTTCGTCTGGCCCTTCCTGCTTTCCCCTCCACCTGTAACTCTACTATGTATTTGTGTGTGTGTGTGTGTGTGTGTGTGTATGTATGTGTGTGTGTGTGTGTGTGTGTGTGTGTGTTTTGTGTGTGTGTGTGTGTGTGTGTGTGTGTGTGTGTTCAAAGCAGAAGGCTAGATCCTCTGACATCTCAGACGAGCTTAGTATCATGACCTGGCAATACATAGCATCGGGTCCTGACAAAGAGAGGACCAGAGAAAACAAGATTATGACATGTGGTACATTCAGAATACTCGATAGGGAAACGTCCTTGTTTGAAAGGAGGGCCTGGGAACACTGCGACATAAATGGAAGTTAAAAATACAAATTAGTCATAAGGATGTCATAGGGATCTGGATGTGGGATGTTGTAGATAAAGCAGTGATAAAGGCAGATTCCTTATACTGTTTAAACAGCAAGATAACCTGTGACAGTTTGCGAGAAGTTGAAAGGCGATGCTAGTTTATTATCCTTAAGTAATAAAGCAGGAAGGGGGGTGAAGGAAGGGGGGGGTAGGGATGAAATAATGAAAGTAGGGAGCGGGCAACAAGTAGTAAGAGAAGAAAGAGGATAAGGAGGAGGAAAAATAAGTGGTCTGAAACTCTTGGTTGAGAGTGAGGAACGTTTTATTTGAGTGAGTGGGGTCATTTCCAGGAGTAGCTCACATAGAGCTTTGAACTATACACACTGTAGTGAGGTGTGTTATGGCTTGTCCAGTCTACTTTACTCCTTCACTTCATATACCTACATACACAAACGCACACAAATATATATATATTATATATATATATATATATATAATATTATATATATATATATTGAATATATAAACTAAATTACGAGAACTCTTTTAAAAGAGGTCCTTTCTTAAAATTTTCTCTTAGGTTAAATATTATTTTGTTAAGTTTATGTAAATTATTTTGCACCAAAAGAACTTAGAAAACTTACTAACTTATTATAAACAATTTATTAATAACATACTAATATATTTAATTGTTTACAATAATTTAATACTAAGAAGTGATTTTTTTTCATTACGCAAAGGATTTTGGCAATTATTGCATACACAATTTCTATTGTCCTATACAAGATGCGTTGCATAATTTAAGACAAGTTAGCAAGTTTTCCATCGGCACGACATTTATAATTGCTATCATATATATTATAATTACTATTTCATATATAATATTATATATATCTATAAAATTCGGATTATAAAAGATCTTTGTTGTGCATACTCAGTCATACCATCTAAATTGTACACTTATTAACTCTGGCCATCATCCCGCTTTGGGATTTTAGCCTCATCTATCATATATATCATTTTTAAATAATTAGTACTATATTAAATAGTCTATAATATCATAATTATATTCAATATGATAAATATATATATTTAATATCCAATAGTTGTGTGTCTACAGCAACGATTGTTACCTTATCTCTGCTATCCTAATATAACATGTACCTTCGTCATTATCTTGCAGTAGTACAGTCTAATTGCAAGAGAGCGTTATAATTGCGCGTACTGCTTATGGTCCGTGTACACGATACTGTCTTCAGTCATGATATGTAATTTACCTATATAACGAGTCGCGATTAAGGCGACTTGTGTTGTAGCATGTTTGCAGGGGCTGAGCCATCGCTCATGTCACTTCATAACTCCGGTCAATCATCCGGCTTTGGTGATTTCTCGCCTCCGGCTCCTATCATACTGTTTCCACTTTTAAAACTAATTGGCTCCACCAGCTCATCGTCTAGTGCATTCCAGTCTCAACCCTGAGACTAAATAAGTACTTTCTAATATCCAAGTGATTCAGCTGTGTCTTAGAATGCCATTTGCTTCCTCTCATCTCCTGCCTGTTCCTAGACACACTTAACTCTTTCTTCACAATTCATTTTCTTCAGTTCAGGTATCAGTCTCATTGCAAACTTTTGCCTCTAGCTTACTTTCGGTTCATCATGTGAAGCCTAGACTAGATAAAGTCCTAAATTTTAGCTTGTCTTGCATATGACGCTAAACTTTTATGATTGATATGTAAATTTGATGATGGGCTAAGTGTAATCCTTGATACTAGGTCTACAGTTTACGTCGTGTGCTGCAGCATCAATGCACGGGTTGTGTGTATTTTCCGGCTTCCAAGTAGCTGTGTTCCTAACCACTTGCAACCCTAATGTTGTCTTGTTCTCCGGTTCCAGAAGGAACCGGAGAACAATGATCATTAGGCGATCCGTTCCCTCTCCCAAAGCTCATTACTTTTTCACTTTATATATCAATCTCGTGTGTAATACTGTGGTAAATGCTTTCTTTTTGTCGGGGAAGTCAGGATCAGCCACACTTCTTGTTTTGTAGTTCCGTTACTGTCCTAAAACCCGTAAGATGTTTGTGAGACAAGATTTGTCATATGTTAACCCGTGCTGGTTGTTTATGTATCGGTTAAGTTCCAAGTGTCCATCTATTCTTTATACCAGCAACGGTATTCTAGTCAGCGACACTGGTCTGTTCCTAGTGCTCCTTCCCTATATCACTTGTACATTTGGACTATATTGGAAGTTTTCCAGCTCTCCTGTAGTTGCCCCAACTCCGGTTGCTTAATCAATAATGGCTCGCACAAAGCTTTAGCTAATTTCGGTATCCATGGCGATACACTGTCTGGTTCCATAGTATTCGTAATTTCCAGCTTTTTTCAGGTTGGAATCAATTGAAGAAGAGAAACACTGCAGGAACTTTTGTTGAGACAGTATTTCTATCTGTTAAGACCACTATAAAGTCATGAATTTATTTAGATCTTAACAGATTGAATAAAAGTTAATCTTCAAAACAATCTAACTCTTCAAACATGTATTTTACTTCACTCCCAATTTTTCACTTGACACAATATTTCTAACCTTGTTTTATTAGCTTTGCTTATCAAATATCTCTCACACTTTCGTATTTGTTTCTTTTCCTGTATAAATGACCCCTTCTTTGTATTCATCTCCTCCTGTAACTCTCTAGTTTCAAATGAATATTCCTCCTCAGTATTTTTATGTGGTCCTTAAATTTTCATACTCGAGTCTGTGGACACTTTCCAGTTCTTTCTCTGCCGCCGTTTTATTCACAAATTATCAGTTTGTTAATGGGTCACTGTTCTGTTCGGTAATAAAAACTCTGCACTGTGATATACATTTTCAATATTAATGGGACATAATAACTTATTTTCCTTGTCTGTTTCTGTTTCAGAGTAGGTACAACCTGACAGGTTCATTTCCTTGCGGTAGATTAGTTTTCAGTGTCTACCGTGCAGTTACCCATGTGGATTCCAGTTCTCCCTTTATAATTGTGACTGGAATCTAACTGGATCGATAGCCTTGTGCTGGCCCTGCTTACGTACTGTGCTGTCTTCTGTTTGATGTTTATTGTAAACATACAGCTATCCTCGTATATTTGTCTTGGATCCTTATTATGGTTGGTGGGTTGTATATACGCACTGTGTGTGTGTGTGGTGTGGGTGTGTGTGGTGTTTGTGTTTGTGTGTGTTTGTGTGTTGTGTGTGTCGCGCGCGCTGTATATGAAAATACGTGAATGTGTGTAGATATTTTATAATTTAGTAAAAATCATTTTATATGAGTAAGAAAGTGGAGCAAAAAGAAGAGGAAAATAATGAATAAATGTAGGAAGAGAAGGAAGGAGGTAGAAATGAAGTGAGCAAAGAAGAAGAGAAGAAAGAAGAGGAGGAAATGAACTTAGAAGTAAGGCCCGAAGAAAAGGAGGATGGTAAGAAAGCAAAAAAAAAAAAATTAAATATTGGTTACCTGGAGTCCTTCTGTTCCAAGAGGTGTGAAGGGCATGCTGGAGGGTGTTCGTCGCTCACCCGTGTCGCCGTCACCTTCCAGTTGCGTCGTGCCTGCCCGTGTCATGTGGGCACGAGCCTCCTGCAGCTGTGGTAATCACGAAGGGAAAATCATACACGAGTTGAATACATCTATATTTGTCTCGAGTAGTTGTAGCCTTGGGTTGTTTTTTGTGATGTGTGCGTGTCTTCGAATGATTTTCGTTACCCTAATAATTTAGAAGTTGGACAGATTTGGGTGAACTTTTACTGAAACACTGAGGTTATGGCGTGAATTGTATAAGATTTTAGAATATATGCATTCAGAACTGAAGGAATGTTTCCAAGAAGACCTTAACTGACACCGGCTGGCAGGCAGAGACTACGTTGCGAATGATAATGCCTAGTTACTGTCTAGCTGTTTAATGTACAGTTATTTATTGATATTTTTTTTAATTAAAGTTATTGTCAAACGGCAACCCCTCAGGGGAGGTTCCTTGACGCTGGTGAGGGGCTCTTGATCTAGGGAATTGGATCTGTGCCCCAGTTCCCTGAATTGAGCCTGAATACCTTCACATCCCCCTGGCACATGTGCTGCATAATCATACGGGTTTAGCGCTCCCCATAATTATAATAATCAAACGTCAATTCTGATCTTTGTGAGTTTACAGATTTCTCATCCAAATTAACCAAAGAAATCACCTTGATATCAAACAACAAGAGAACATTTTCATTCTACCGTCAACCTTAGTTCGTACAGCAGCAGCTCGTTATAACGATCACATAAGTTTCTCATGTTTGTAGGTAAACAGTAGTAATTTTTCTTTGAGAAAGAGTTTGCAAAGCATTATGGTTGTGTGGCGATGGTTGCTCAAGGACAACGAACAAAGGAATCAATACGAAATAAAGCTGATATTAAGAAAAAAGCTAAACTTTTATAGACACCGTTTAAATATAATTTCTTAAATTTGGTCATAAATGCACCCCAGATTCCAGACACCCATCTTTTGCGGAGATGTCATTTTTATTCGTGAATGTCTGGCTGCGTCTCACGATAAGGGCTTCATAATGACTAAAATGTTGCTTCATCTTGCCACATGGAGTCGCTTATTCTCCGTGGTTCACCTGCGCAGTCATAATTACTGTTGACACAACTTGAATAAACACGCATAGGAAATGCTCTCCAGGAAAGTCTTTACCAGAGTAGGGAGGTATATAACAACCATCCACCGAGATACTGCCTTTTATTTATATCTGTGTGAAACATGCACGATAGCTGGTCTTTTCTGTCTTATGAACATGTAAAATGAGCAAATCCTACAAACTTCTATTTACATGGAGTTTAGACTTGGCTTTACCTGATCTTATACGTGGCCGCAGTGGCGACGATCTCCAAAACCATTGAAAAAGATATATTAGGTATAACTAGTTTTTATTTGCGCAGTTTTCAAGTTGTGTAGGATTTTGGATTTCGTAAAGCTTAGAGTAAGAGGTAACGCACGATCAAAATACTTAGTAGGTAATGATAATTAGTTTGTTGTCGGGGAAAGATAGTTGAATGACCACGTTTAGTTTTATCTCTTCGTGAATACAATAGGTAGCAGCCAGGATCTATATTCAGTAATGTGCCAGATGTTAATTGAAATAAGACCAAGGAACGAATAATTTATAGATTACATTGAACGGAATGATCATACGCCAGCCCTTGTCTTGAGATGTCAGGAGACACGAAGGCTATTCTTCTTGGCGAAAGAATGTGTGTAGGGGGAGGGGGGAAGAGTGTTGACCTGCTTGTAATTATCCAAAGGAACGCAGGTTGAGTATGGATGACTGAACTTCGTGTGAACACAGAGGCTTGTATCCTTAGTTTACTCCTTGGCCCAGTTAACCAAAAGGTTAAGTGGTATTTTTTAGAGTATTTTTTATTTACAGCAGTCAGAACACAAGCTAATGAGACCTATTAACAGTTGTGGTATCAATATTTAAAGATAAACAATAGTGGATTGACATAAATTGTTACAGATAGTTACCCATGAGGCCCGGGTGAGGTTGAGAAGATTGCGTGGGTGTGCGGGGCATGTAGGGTGATTGCAGAGCACAGAACACCCCGGGTGGTCTGTGTAGGGTGAGCGAAGGAGACCGTACGGCCGCTGTGAGTAAGCTGGTCGCTGCACGATCTGGATATACTCCATCTTGCCGCTCTTGCCGTCGCCGCCGCCACTGCTGTTGCTGAGGATGAGATGTGATTACACTGTTCCTCTGCAAATGTCAGGACGTTAATATTAGCTACTAGGAAGGATTCATTTGTTGTCTAGGTGTGCCGAATTCCAGCTCACCTGTGTAGGGCTCGTCAGGATCTCGTCAAGATAGGGATATCCAAGAACTTAAGTCTTCTGGTCGATTTCAAACATTTAAATATGTATCCTAAAAGAGTGTTGGCAGTGTTATTAGTCTGTGTGTGTGTGTGTACTCACCTATTTGTGGTTGCAAGGGTCGATTCATAGCTCCTGGTCCCGCCTCTTCACTGATCGCTACTAGGTTCTCTCTCTCCTTGCTCCATGAGCTTTATCAAACCTCGTGTTAAAACTACGTATGGTTCCCGCCTCCACTACGTCACTTTCTAGGCTATTCCATTTTCCTGACAACTGTATGACTGAAGAAATACTTCCTAACGTCCCTTTGACTCATAGGAGTCTTCAACTAGCAATTGTGACCCCTTGTTTCTGTGTCCCATCTCTAGAACATCCTGTCTTTGTCCACTTTGTCAATTCCTCCCATTATTTTATATGTCGTTATCGTGTCTTCCCTGACCCTCCTGTCCTCCAGTGTCGTCAGGCCGATTTCCCTTAACCTTTCTTCGTAGGACAATCCCCTAAGCTCTGGGACTAGTCTCGTTGCAAACCTCTACACTTTCTCTAATTTCTTGACGTGCTTGACCAGATGTGGATTCCAAATTGGTGCTGCATACTCCAATATGGTACTGACGTATATGGTATACAGAGTCTTGAACGGTTCCTTACCGAGGTATCGGAACGCTATTCTTAGGTTTGCCAGGCGCCCGTACGCTACAGCAGTTATCTGATTGATGTGCACCTCAGGAGATGTGCTCGGTATTATACTCACTAAGATCTTTTTCCTTTAGAGAGGTTTGCAGTCTTTGGCCACCTAGACTATACTCTGTGGTCTTCCTTGCCCTTCCCCGATCTTCATGACTTTTCATTTAGCGGGGTTAAATTCAAGGAGCCAGCTGCTGGACCAGGCTTTGTGTGTGTGTGTGTGTGTGTGTGTGTGTGTGTGTGTGTGTGGAGAGGGCGTATTATTTTGCCAATTTTCTGCGTGAAACTGTATGATTTTTGTTCCGGCGTCAATATTTAATGGCTGGTGAATCTTGCAGACAGGATGCTACCCGAGAAATTTTTTTCATGTAGATACATACTTGTAAATATGCTAAAATACCAAAAGAACTTGGAAGCGACGCAGTCAGTGCAAAAACTGCGGAATGCCTCTTATGATCGGCTTCAATCTTTTTGCACTAGTGTATTTTCTTAAGCGCCAGACTTGCTTTAATAGGCTACATTAGTATCAATTTGACAGTTTTAGTAAAAATATGATATTGACGTTCGTTTAATAACTAAACTATACCTCTTCTAATTGGCTTCAAAGCACTTAACGAATTCAGTAAGAAGATGACGCCTCATCAGTTTAATCTGAGTTGATGATAATATAATTTGTTACTGAAATTAAAATATTTGGAATCGTTGGATTCAGAGCAATTACTGGATAATGCCTTTTCTGATAGGCTTCAAACTTTCATTGTTGGTGGGCTTTATGGAAAATACCTTAGAATTCACGTTGAGATGTGTAAATTTTATTTGCCAATTTTATTATATTGCTTCCAAGTAATAACTAGAGAATTCTTCCGATCGACTTAACCACTAAACACTGGTGCATCTTAATTGAGAGTATTTATTTATTGCATTTGGTAGGTGTCAGTCTCAATTTGTAATTTTATTAAAAAAAAATATATCAAGCTGGACTTTCTTAAAAAGAATGGAACTAAAAAAAAATTAACATTCCATTGAAACTTCTGTTTTAATGGAATTTTAAAGTTTCACGAATTTAGTGAACTCTTAAATACTATATTTTCATATGATTTTGTGCCAGAGTTGATCATATTGTTAGGTATAGTGTCCTTGTCTGCCATTAACTTCCTCCAAGGTTTTAATATTTAACTTCAGAACGCCTTATTCGATCGGCTTCAACTTTTTTCAAATCTGGTGAACTATAAACAGGGAAGGTTCGTGCAACAATTGCCAAGAACAGGTACCCTCTGCTAAATTTATGTAGATCTTTCCCGAGATATATACAAAGCCTCCTCTGATCAAGTTCAAACTTTTAATATTCGTACATACTACTAGGAGGACGTTGCTATTGTTAATTGCTATTGTAGCTGCCACTTGGACACTGTTAATCTCGTTTTGGCAACGAAGGTACCTAAGCAACGCTTAGAAATTCTTATATACCTAAATGTTTTGCTTGCATCACAGGTTTCAGTCAAATACAGGAGAATGTAATACTAGAGAGAGAGTAGAAGTAGTTGTGAGGTGATCAGCTCTTCAGTGTCTTGGAAGGTTGTCACTTCCTCATGCCTAAAGAAGGGTCATGCAGCCATAATTTGTATACTGTAACAAAAGTGAGGTGATGCAGTTGCATGTGATTTTACAAGTGAGTGTGGACCCACTAGTGGAAGCAGGTCATGTTAAACAAATGTTAACCACAGACAGTGCAGAAGACTTGACATGTACCGACAAGATGGTGATTAAGACACATGTGCAACACTTTGATATCTTTATTGCTCAAACATTTCGCCTGCACAACAGACTTAGTAAAATAAAGGTATAATACTGAAGACAGTAGAAGTTGTAGTTTTAAGATGGTCCAGCCCTGATGCCTAAAGCGATAACAAGCTGCCAAAAAATAGGCTATTGGGCAATTTGACGTCTAATTTGCTCAAACTGGCTATTACCCAAGCATGTCATCTGTACTTATCGCCGCTGGTAGCGAGAGACGGACGAAAAAAGTTCTTGTTTCCGTCGAAAATTAAATCTTTCACCTAATTCGCTTCTAAATCAAGCCAACTTAGTATCTATTTAGGGACATTTGCAGTGTCTCAGTGGAAACAAATCTTGCCTATTTCCGAGAAAGTTTTCTGTACTAATCTTTGGTGTCAAGGAAAGGCCACCCAGACCCTCATTTCCAGTGTAACACAAGTCCAACGTATCCTAATCCTGCCGGTTTGTACCGTTTCTAAAACCCGCAAATCAAATGTTCCCACGAGGCTATCTCTTGAACCAGTTGTATCCCAATACATTAACAGGCATGTTTGTTAAATAATTATCCAAACTACTAGGAATTCTCAGCGACTCACACCTCAAATATTTAGGTAATCTGTTAGACAGCAAAAGGAACTGTAATGTTAACATGAAACTAGCTAATCTTGACTTCAACACTAGTAAATTCAGGAGAAGTGGTATCAACATACCGGGATGATGAGCTAGCTGTGTGTGCCCCCGATAAATGGTTGCCAGTGTGAAGATTGCCACCAAACCGTTTTTATTTTTACTCTGAAATAAGTTAATAAGGTGCCCTTCTTCACCACTCTGACACTAGATATGAAATTCTACCAACCCCTTCTTTCCTATTTTGGTACTAGATAGAGAAAAGAAACCTTTGAAAATAAATGGGAGCTGACGGATTCTATGAAATCAAAAGTCAGGAAAGATTTCACCATCGTAACAACGAAGATAAATAATTCAGGACTACATATTATTGTTGAATTATGGCTAGTAGTTAAGTCAGTTTTCCCACAATCTCTTTAATGTTAGACTCCATATAAAAGTCTGAGACAAACATAAAATATTAACAGCACTACTGGTTTTCTTCGTTTTATAAATATGCGAATATAGAGTATCTCTACAATATGAAATCTCAAGATGAAGTAGCACCGATACAACAAGTTTACACAGTAAGACACCGTGTTTACAATCTATTTATTTTATATAAAAATTTTAGAGTGCATTTTGCAAAGGAAATAGGAAGGCTTAATCCCTTAGTTTATACCGTCTGTATCATGACTCACGAAATCGTAATGGCACGACTGCGAAGAAACCATACAACGGGTGGGGATAGAACCTGCGATCAGAGTCATAAACTCCAGACCGACGCGCTAGCCACAGTGGCTAGCGCGTCGGTCTGGAGTTTTATGACTCGGAACGCAGGTTCTATCCCCACCCGTGGTATGGTCTGTCTGTATCCGTCTAAAAGCATTTTATGGAATTTTACAAGAAAATACTACTAGAAAGGTATTTCTTCTGTGAAAAAGAGCTTGATCTGTGTATGTAAAAGTCTTCTGGCACATACTGGGCCTCACTGGAAACACCGTCACACAACGATTAACTTTGAAAAACTGATATGACAAGTTGCCTGCCAAATTCAGGAGCTCCTTGTTTGTAATAGCTATCAAAATTATTGATTAGGTAATTTTAACTAAGTTTTTTAAATTAATATTTTTTTTGTTTTATCAGCTTGGACGAACTAACAAAATATTGCCCAAAGTGAACTATCAACCAGCAGAATATTCAGATTAATCAAATTAATAGTAGAAAAAGTAAATGGTTGGGGTAGTTATAACAGTAGTGCACATCCTCCTGTACCACAGTATCCGGTGGACTTGTGGTGAACTAGACGAATATCCTCTAGTAAATATAGAATAAGACTCATGTGCACGGCATGGGCATCTTTATTGCCGATAAGTATCGCTTTCACAACAGACTTGTTCAGTCGATTACCGGCGAATATAACACTGGAGACAGAAGTAGTAAACTTTTTTTTATTCTAGCTCTTAACTGCAGAACCTTCCCAGAAGGGTTGGCTATATTTTTGGAGGGACGAATTAGGTAGAATCGTTGACGGTTATTCAGTCATAGGAGAAACTTGATGAATGATTAATGAATAGGGAACGTATTGTGTAGCAGCCGACTACACCATCTACGTGTTAAATTAAGAAAGATTGATTATAATGGAAAGATGCTAGAAGCAGCTAGATGATCAAATTTGAGGCTATCTAAACCATACAGATTTTAAGTGACTTTGTCACAGTTCACAGACCATCTAATGTGAGCAATTTAATAAAAAATACTAGCTATTGCCAAGCCAGCACACCAGACTGGGTTGCGAGGGCTGGTCAAGAAAAGATCCGCTCTTCCTGCCTCGACCTGCTCACTACCTGGTAATTACAAACTAAAATAGAACTATCACGGGTTGATATTGATAGTTTATTTATGCATAATACATTAGAAACCCCTTCAACCAATGATATGGTTAGGAGAAAACCTTCCCTAGTCTCTGTAAAAATATTCCCATTAACAGGTCCTAAAATCATATATCAATAATGGTAAATTATTTCATAATTTACCATTATTGGTATTAATGTTTATATATTGTAATTATTAATTTAATGTTAAGTCTAGCTTTTTTGTGAGTGGTAGGGAGTGGGTATCGAGGGAATGACAGTTCGGCGACCTACTGTGACTAAATTCCAGTTACCTCACCCAAATTACTTGCAGGAAATAATTCAGGTAATACCCTGAAAACCTCCTACAGGTAATTTCCCACAACTGAGTTACTATTTGTAAGCTGGCTTTTCATGTTGCAAAATGCTCCCTTGCAACGGCAGACGTCTATTCCATCTCAGTATGCCTCGTTACGCTAGTACTGATTCACAGTATGACTAGTTCGAGATTTTAAAGTGCGTAGCTAGTTATTTATTATAAACCACCACATCCAACACCATACGACAATGATAAATGAATATCGTTAGACTGGCCAAAAAAAACTAAAGTACTGTGTAGAAAACCCTAATAATGCCTTTTTCAAGGCAACAGAGTTCATTCAACATGAACACAGTATATATAAGCAGGCCAGTCGAGTTGAAGAGATGTAACAGAGTAGGATTATTTGCTTGATGGACCGTGTTGGTACTTTTTGTACAGAAGATTAATCTTCATGGGTTTGCCTGACTGAAAACTCTGTTCAAGAGTCTTGATTGTATTCTTAGTCAAGGTAAGAACAGACTCTAAAACTACACTATAATTCTTGGACTAGATAGAAGAAGATAGTTCTCAGCAGAGAGCCTCTGTGCGGATGTGCTCTGTTGTTTGTCTTGTGTACTTGAACCCACGGTTCACCTCATATATTTGCTTCAATGGTCAACTATGTGCGTCCACATTTTTGTAACATGTTTTTACTTAAACAAAATGTTGCTTTTTAACAAGCTGGGTAATTTAAATCACTAAATAATAAGAATTCTATCATTTTTAACTTTATCCACCTGTAAAACATGGATGTCATTTTAATTATTTACCAGCCTTTCTTTAAAATATTTTGTATGAAGTTTTAAATAACTTTGGAATAGCCAAAAATAAGTTGGTTATAAATCCATGAGCCAACAAGAGGTATATAGTTGTCAGTTACAGGTATTATAATGTAACTTTCACAAAAAGCTTTGAAAAAAATTGTGGTTCCCCCACTGGCTGTAGCTGCACGGTTATGTAATAAGTTTTTATTTGAACATTGTTGCTGCTATCTGGAGTTTTACCTGGAGAAGGTTTCGGGGGTCAACACCCCCGCGGCTCGTTCTGAGACCAGGCCTCATGGTGGATCAGGGTCTGATCAACCAGGCTGTTACAAGCTAGGTACTTTAAATCAAGGATATCATTTACATGCAATTCCCAAGTCTTTATTAATACATACTGTATAATTTTTGTAAATGATTTGGTTATAATAAACTCTACATTAAGTTGGCTACAAAATTTTAACCCATAGAGAAGTTTTTTTTTTTTTCATCGAGCTGTGAGTAGCTGAGAAATGTAGTTTCATTTTATTTGTGAATGTATACAATGTTTGGTGTGTTGATACTGAACTGTACATTATGAAATAAAACATTTTCAAATTGCCAACCCTCGGTGATAGTGACGATAGTGACGGTGATACTGTTCTTGAAAATGAGGTGACACTAAAACACAAATATGAATTAGAAAAACCGTAAAAGAGTTGGAAAAGCCTTCATCGCTTTGCAGTACGAATAGTTTAACATCTCTGTTATACACCACTAACTCGTCCTCCTATGATCGTTATTCAAAAAACTTAAGAGGTACATAAAGTAGATTTTAAGAATCTATCATTTCTTTTGTAATTGTTAAGTTTGTTAGTGGTATGCAATATCCACAGTTGATGATTAAGACACAAGTGAAACACTTGCATATTCTTTTTTGCATTTTATGCCACTAAGCACCTGGTGTTAGCACTTAAGATCAACAAATTAAAGAAAATGATTGAAAATAGAGAATAGTTTCTGTGACAATAGCACTGGCTTACCTCTGGTGGCTTCCTGGTGTAACCCGCCAGTTGCTTCTGGTGGCACATGGACACAGTGGCACATCTAGCAGCGTGCCACTACTCTCACAACGTTGAACCTTACGCCTCTCTGACTATTTACTACGTGCATCCTCCACAGAAACAGTCGCACCAGTATCATAATTTACTTGGGACTGGTTTCTGTGGTCGGTCACTACCCCTCATGTCAAGGCTGGACGTACCCTTGTATTATAAACCTCCATTTTAGCATCGCCAGTAATTGTGACATACTTGAGAATGTAGGCCCTTAATACGCATCCTAATTTAATTAGGTTTATGGTGCCTGACGAGGGTTCAATGCGTGCTGTGGTGGCGGTGGTGGTGGACTCAAGTCACCAGCAGCTAACGCGTCAATACTACACTATCCCCCTCCACCTCGCCAGACGCACTGGCTCGACAACAGAGTTTTCTTGCTTCCTGGCACTCTCGCTTGCCCCTGTTCCCCACTCTCGTTCACCTTCCCACACCCATTCCTCTTTCCCGTTCCCCTTTCCAGTTCCCATTCCCCTGACCTCTAACCTATTCATTTTTTTATTCTCTCTCCCTTTTGTTTTCATCAGATTTATCAGCCATGTCAGACCGCTAACAATGGAATGTTTGTTGTGTTTGGCAATCAAGAGACCAGGCAGACCAACACGCACGCACCGTATATGCCAGAAGCCAATTTACCCATTATGGCGCACTCGTTACACAGTGGCAGCAGGTTACTGAGGCCGTCGATGAGACCAATTTCCCGCTGTTACTCTTGTTTCTTATTACACACGTTCTGTATTTGTCATTCCGTGGCCTCGGTGAAATTGGCGAAATTCTAGGCTTTTCAACATGCAACCTTCGACGAAATTTTTATGATTTCGATCATATTTTCACGTGCTATTTTTTGCAATTTTGTGCTTGTCATATCCGTTACAGACGAGGTGGCAAGTAGCGTCTGCGGGAGAGAAGTTAAACGGCAAGGGAAGATGTGTATAGCCAAGAGGAAAGAGGATTTGAAGTAATAGGGAAAAGGAAGATTGTGTTAATGCAGGAGATGAAGAAGCTTAATGGAGGAGGAGGAGGAAATGTATATCAAGCGTTGAAGATTGGGGGGGGGGAATGTGACGTATGTAAGCTAGGTTGAGTGGGATCAGGTGTCGAAGGTCACTCAGGCAGGTTAATGTGTGGAACATTATATGACGCGGATTAGATGCAATGTTTACCAGGTTGAGAAGAGTCGTGTGAGTATTTTAATTTCTCTTAGAAAAAGAAAGTATCCGCTGTCGGACACTTCGAGGTAAAGCTAATGAAGGAGCGTTAGGTAAGAAGTTTAATGAAGACTAAGACTTAATGAAAAATGATGAGTTATTGGACAAACCTTGGATTGGCACGGAGGTGCATACCTGTAGTCTGCCTGTAGGATGTTCTGGGGATCAACGCCCCCACGGCCTGGCCCATGACCAGGCCCCACGGTGGATCAAGGACTGATCAACCAGGCTGTTACCTCCGGCCGCACGTAATCCAGCGTTCGAACCACAGCCCGGCTGGTCAGGTACTGACTTAAGGTGTCTGTCCAGCTCCCTCTTGAAGACAGCCAAAGATGTACTGGTAATTTTCCTTATGTATACTTGGTCCCCTGACACTTATTTTATCACCCTGTACTAACGGCACCCTTGCTTTTCATTGGGGGTATGATGCACTGTCTGCCGAGTCATTTGCTTTCATAGGTTGTGATTTCTGTATGCAGATTTAGGACTAGTCCCTCTTAAGATTTTCCATATGTAAATTATGATGTATCTTTCTTGCCTGCGTTTGAAGGAGTGCAGGCCAAGGGACTTCACATGGTCCCAGTAGTTGAGGCGTTAGTGTGCTTATACCTGCAGAGAAAGTTCTCTGTATATTCTCCAGATCTGCAGTTTTACCTGCCTTGAAAGAGGCCGTTAGTGAACAGCAGCATTCCAGCCTAGAGAGAACAAGTGATTTAAAGAGGGTCATCATTGGCTTGGCATCCGTTGTTCTGAAGGTTCTCATTATCCATCCTATCATTTTCCTAGATGATGTGATAACTGACCTTATTATTCCCAAGTTATTCACATTAGTTTTCTGCTCTATTGTGAGGTTAGAATATGTTTTATACTCAGATTTAGCTTTTTATTTTCTCAAAATTTCCATAGCGGAGTAATTGAAATTTGCCCTCATTGGACTTCTAGTGCACATACACACGCCACATGTGGCTTATAATTTGAACGAGCGTTTTTCCAGGTGTTTAAAACAGGAGAGCGAGGGATGAGTCAAGTGTATAATATACAGGAGACTTGCCACACTGCACGTGCGAGAGATCTATGATAGGTCCCGCATAAAAAAAAATCATTACGTGATGTGTGGGCGTCTTTGTCTTGGACGACAGACATGGAAAAATGGCCCACTGTTTCCCCTCCCTCTGGAGTTACCTGGAGTTTACCTGGAGAGAGTTTCGGGGGTCAACGCCCCCGCGGCCCGGTCTGTGACCAGGCCTCCTGGTGGATCAGCGCCTGATCAACCAGGCTGTTGCTGCTGGCTGCACGCAAACCAACGTACGAGCCACAGCCCGGCTGATCAGGAACTGACTTTAGGTGCTTGTCCAGTGCCAGCTTGAAGACTGCCAGGGGTCTGTTGGTAATCCCCCTTATGTGTGCTGGGAGGCAGTTGAACAGTCTCGGGCCCCTGACACTTATTGTATGGTCTCTTAACGTGCTAGTGACACCCCTGCTTTTCATTGGGGGGATGGTGCATCGTCTGCCAAGTCTTTTGCTTTCGTAGTGAGTGATTTTCGTGTGCAAGTTCGGTACTAGTCCCTCTAGGATTTTCCAGGTGTATATAATCATGTATCTCTCCCTCCTGCGTTCCAGGGAATACAGGTTTAGAAACCTCAAGCGCTCCCAGTAATTGAGGTGTTTTATCTCCGTTATGCGCGCCGTGAAAGTTCTCTGTACATTTTCTAGGTCGGCAATTTCACCTGCCTTGAAAGGTGCTGTTAGAGTGCAGCAATATTCCAGCCTAGATAGAACAAGTGACCTGAAGAGTGTCATCATGGGCTTGGCCTCCCTAGTTTTGAAGGTTCTCATTATCCATCCTGTCATTTTTCTAGCAGATGCGATTGATACAATGTTATGGTCCTTGAAGGTGAGATCCTCCGACATAATCATCCCAGGTCTTTGACGTTGGTGTTTCGCTCTATTTTGTGGCCAGAATTTGTTTTGTACTCTGATGAAGATTTAATTTCCTCATGTTTACCATATCTGAGTAATTGAAATTTCTCATCGTTGAACTTCATATTGTTTTCTGCAGCCCACTGAAAGATTTGGTTGATGTCCGCCTGGAGCCTTGCAGTGTCTGCAATGGAAGACACTGTCATGCAGATTCGGGTGTCATCTGCAAAGGAAGACACGGTGCTGTGGCTGACATCCTTGTCTATGTCGGATATGAGGATGAGGAACAAGATGGGAGCTAGTACTGTGCCTTGTGGAACAGAGCTTTTCACCGTAGCTGCCTCGGACTTTACTCTGTTGACGACTACTCTCTGTGTTCTGTTAGTGAGGAAATTATAGATCCATCGACCGACTTTTCCTGTTATTCCTTTAGCGCGCATTTTGTGCGCTATTACGCCATGGTCACACTTGTCGAAGGCTTTTGCAAAGTCTGTATATATTACATCTGCATTCTTTTTGTCTTCTAGTGCATTTAGGACCTTGTCGTAGTGATCCAGTAGTTGAGACAGACAGGAGCGACCTGTTCTAAACCCATGTTGCCCTGGGTTGTGTAACTGATGGGTTTCTAGATGGGTGGTGATCTTGCTTCTTAGGACCCTTTCAAAGATTTTTATGATATGGGATGTTAGTGCTATTGGTCTGTAGTTCTTTGCTGTTGCTTTACTGCCCCCTTTGTGGAGTGGGGCTATGTCTGTTGTTTTTAGTAACTGAGGGACGACCCCCGTGTCCATGCTCCCTCTCCATAGGATGGAAAAGGCTCGTGATAGGGGCTTCTTGCAGTTCTTGATGAACACAGAGTTCCATGAGTCTGGCCCTGGGGCAGAGTGCATGGGCATGTCATTTATCGCCTGTTCGAAGTCATTTGGCGTCAGGATAACATCGGATAGGCTTGTGTTAATCAAATTTTGTGGCTCTCTCATAAAAAATTCATTTTGATCTTCGACTCTCAGTCTGGTTAGCGGCTTGCTAAAAACTGAGTCATATTGGGACTTGAGTAGCTCACTCATTTCCTTGCTGTCATCTGTGTAGGACCCATCTTGTTTAAGTAGGGGCCCAATACTGGGCGTTGTTCTCGATTTTGATTTGGCATAGGAGAAGAAATACTTTGGGTTTCTTTCGATTTCATTTATAGCTTTTAGTTCTTCCCGCGATTCCTGACTCCTAAAGGATTCTTTTAGCTTAAGTTCGATGCTTGCTATTTCTCTGACCAGTGTCTCCCTGCGCATTTCAGATATATTGACCTCTTTTAGCCGCTCTGTTATTCTTTTCCGTCGCCTGTAAAGGGAGCGCCTGTCTCTTTCCATTTTACATCTACTCCTCCTTTTTCTTAGAGGAATAAGCCTTGTGCATACATCGAGTGCCACCGAGTTAATCTGTTCTAGGCATAAGTTTGGGTCTGTGTTGCTTAGTATATCTTCCCAGCTTATATCGGTTAGGACTTGGTTTACTTGGTCCCACTTTATGTTTTTGTTATTGAAGTTGAATTTGGTGAATGCTCCCTCGTGACTAGTCTCATTTTTGTCGGTCTGGGGCTCCTCGCATACATGTCTGAACCTCAATTATGTTGTGATCTGAGTATATTGTTTTTGATATGGTGACATTTCTTATCAGATCATCATTGTTAGTGAATATGAGGTCTAGTGTATTCTCCAGTCTAGTAGGCTCTATTATTTGCTGGTTTAAATTGAATTTTGTGCAGAGATTTAAAAGCTCGTGACGAGTCATTCAACACTGCTTGGCTTTCTTGGATTATTCTGGAGGGGCTCTTGATCTATGGAATTGGATCTGTGCTCCAGTTCCCTGAATTGAGCCTGAATACTTTCCATCCCCCTCCCCACATGCGCTGTATAATCCTACGGGTTTAGCACTTCCCCCTGATTATAATATTTGGGTTGTTAACCCTCCGGGATTAGTAATCTGAATAATCTTTGCATGTCTTCATATTCTAAGCTTTCTGGACAGAGACCTGGTTGTGTTAAGAGGACGGAGGATCGAACCTCCACATTTCGTGGGATGAATGACTCACACGAGTTAAATATATAATAATTTTAAGCGCTGAACCTTATTACCTGGGTCCACATGAATTAAGCAGATGATGAAATGCAATGGATTCTGTTATTTTGTGACTTTTTGGTGTTTGTATGCGATGAGACTGCCCCATAGTGATCATTTGTTGCAGAAGTTAACGCTGCAACAAAACCACACTCCGCGGTTCCCCACATGTTAGTGTCTCCGACCAACAAGACTCCCTGTTCTTGGTCACATCGACTTGTTTCCACGTACGTACTCCTATGCTCATCTTGACAAATAAAAACATTAGTTAGACATTGCCCGGATGAAGTATGCTGTGAGGAATAAGTTCAAGCATTGTATATAATTCTTTTACATCCTTGAAGAGTGTTAAGACGAGCGGT